TTCCGCAATCTAGTGCCAATCACCGACGGACATCGATTGCCATCCATTGACGGTAACCAAATGTGCAGGAAGGCAGCTTCCACACCTGCGTAGGAGAACAATCCCACCGACCTAACAATCTGATTAAATCATACATAACTGTCGATGCTGTGATGACTCTCGTCACCTGTCAAACACTGCAATCGTAAAGTGCACAACACGCAAACCTGCTCGGAATATGCCAAATCTCTAAAATCATCTGTAAACGAACGTTTGATCGTTGCCGATGTCGTAAAGAACTCCAGCGCATACCAGGACTTCATCGAAGTCAAAAGAACGAGACGTAATAGCTCCAGCAGATTCAACGGACCAGAGAAAACCAAACACAGATCCAGGTCTAACGCCTCACTTGCGGGAAGCGAAATAACAAGCAGCAAACGAAAACAACACAACGCACAACCAACAACATCGGCCTTGCCCATTCATACCGACAAGAAGAATGCCGACAACAGACCGGCTCGAACAGAAACGCGTACTGAGACTCGTTCTGGATTACGATCCCGATCCGAGTCTCGCTCTCCATCAAGAACCACCAAATAATGTCCAGTCTCCAAAAACTCCAGCCTGCTGTCTTGTTTTACACGGTAAGCAAAATGAACAGTATATGTCCAGACTTAGCAGAAAAAAAGATACTGCCACCCTAAAAACAAACCAAACTTTACAGCGAACGATGTTCAACGATATGCGCTGCCCTCGCTGGAAAACAAGTCATCCACATCAGTCTACCCCCTCCACCCAAACCATGTTTAGCAATGGATAACACAACGTCTACATCAGCATCTTCGTCGACCTTGGAGGTCGAAATTGGCCCCACCGACAGATGCCTTGCATTGCAGTGGAATATACGTGAACTTCGAGCCAACGCTTGTGAATTGAAGCAACTCGCTTCGCATCATCAACCTGCAGTGATAGCACTTCAAGAAACGAAGGTAAACGCCCAAATATTGCCTAACGATTTCATCGGCAAGGATTACACCCCACTACTGGAAAGCGGTTCCAACTATCCGTGGGTACACGGCGTAAGCCTTACGATCCGTGAAGGGATCCCATTCGAGAGACAAGAGATTCAGACGACCTTGCAGGCGATCGCTGTGCGGATTCAATTACCGCAACCTATTGCAGTAGTCTCGATCTATCTGCCACCTAATTCTCGTCGAATTAATGACCAACATGATAGTCTCTTCGAACAACTACCGGAACCGGCTGCAGTACTTGAAGACTTCAAGGCCCATCACCCTGCATGGGGCTCCTGCAATGTGGATTATCTGGGACGTTTCATAGCTGAAAATACTCTGAAGAGGAAGCTCGTTATCTCGCTCTATCCCACTCGCATAAACCCAGCTTCTAGTTCTATGTCATCAATTGATCTCTCACTCTGCTCGAAAATGGCTGTACGACAGCGCCGACTGGGCGAAGTATGAACGATTAACGTCAGTTGTCATCTCCGTTGAATTGAACACCTTTGTAGATAGTATACTTACGGCAGCAAGAGCAAGCATGCCAAGCTCGAGTGGAAAAACTGGTCCCAAAGCGGTACCTTGGTGGTGCCCTGAAGTGAAGACGGCTATACAACGACGAAGGAAAATGCTGCGACACCACGACGCCTTTCTGACGATGATCCGAATAAACTAGAGGACCTACAAGCTTTCCAGGAAGCACGAGCAGTGTCAAGAACGACGATCCGACTGGCCAAAACGCAATCATGGGAACATTTCGTTGCCAAGATCTCTCCTACTAGTTCAACGACGGACCTATGGCAGTCCGTTAATGCACTGCGTGGCAAGGGCCACCACACCACCAAAGTTATCAGAGGTTCATCTGGGCCAATGGATGCCCCGCTGATGTGGCTGAAATATTGGCCCTACACTACACCGAAAGGTCGGCAACCTTCAGTTATCCAACTACTTTCCAAAAGCGAAGGAAAAAGCAGAACGGAATTATTCTAACCCATTGAAAAAGGTTCACAAAGGGTAAAACCACAGACAAGCTGACGTAACTCTTCACTGTGTTCACGCATTTAACGACTGATTTGAATATTATCACTTCCGCGAACTACTCGCCGCAGCGCTGGCATCGGATCACTTTGACGTTTCTATACATTCTAGAGAACTTTTATGCAATATTGTTTGCGAGTTAGCGAGCAAACTTGTTTTCCGCGAGAAGCCCGAGAGATGTCGTTACTGAGGTCCTATGTTTTGAGATACAATGTTTTCAAGAAAAACTTTTTCAAAGAGATACGTCTGTTTGTCTGTGGTGTAACGCTGATTTTTCCCTAGCTGAACTCTTGTGGGCTGTCGACAAAGGACGGGGCTTAGCTACGGGTCCTACTCCTGATTCCATTGGGTATCCCATGCTCCAACGGCTACCTTTCTCAGTGAAAACCGCGCTCCTAGAGTTGCTCAATCGTATTTGGCACAGCGGAGTCTTCCCGATCAGATGGCGAACAGGGGTATAGTACCAATTCCGAAGTCCAAAGTCTTCGAAAGGATGGTTAACAGACGTTTAATTACGGAATTAGAATCGGAAGGAAGGCTTGATAAACGCCAACACGCTTTCCGATCCGGCCACGGTACTGACACGCATTTCACCGAACTTGAAAGCTACCTAGCTGCAAAGGACGAGCATTGCTTAATCGCGTCTTGGGACTTATCCAAAGCCTACGACACGGAATTTTACGGTCACTGAAGCAAGGCACGTAGCGGGTGCATGTACAACATTCTAAACAGTTTCCTCGCGGACCGAACTTTTAAGGTAGCTGTAGGAGGACATCACTCAGGCCTATATCCACTGGAGAACGGAGTCCCACAAGGTTCTGTATTGTCTGTCACTTTGATCCTCGTTGCAATGCAACCTATGTTTCGTGCGATACCAAATGGAGTAAAGGCTCTTCTATATGCGGACGACATCTTATTGGTCGTAGTAGGTCGAAAGAACCAGCTCTTAGGTCGGAAACTACAGATTGCTGTTAACGCGGTAGTAAAATGGGCTAAAAGCATTGGGTTTTGTATATCGTCGAACAAATCAAACATCTTCTACGGTAGCCCTAATGAATTCCAGGAAGACGTCCCATATCGGTACACTCACAAATTGACCACGTTCTGATTTATGGAAGATACTTCTTGGATTATCACCGACGTCAGGACCAATCGATTCGGAACACTGACTGCCTTGTGATGATGAAAGTTTGCTAAAGACTTTCTGTTGTCAACAACATTTGGTACGCCACGATACAATCTCAAACGACTCAAGTTACCCGAATTCGCACATGATTACACGTAAGACCTTGTAGCAGAGCTGACCGAAACTCCCCTTGAGGCTGACAAAGCTGACAAACAGCAGAAGGTGCCATTGGAAGGTTCGACGAGGACTGTCAGAAGGTTTTAGACGCAGCAAGTAACTCGTCCAAATGTGAAGCGATACAAAAAGAAGCGAAGACCTAAAAACTCATGGATAAGAAGCATCGCATGGAAGAGTTAGGTTATAGTGTGAAGAAATCGAGAAGCTGTATCGTTCTCAAAAGGCCTGTAAATTCTATGAGAAACTCAATGCATCCCGCAAAGGCTTTATGCCGGTAGTCCTGAAAGTGTTGGGATAAGGATGAAGGTATCTTGAAGTCGAGAAAATTTAAAACCCGAGAGATTCCCTCGACCGAACTGGGAATAATACCGTGCCTTTACTGACTAGGCTATCTGAAGCCATATACGTTTCTATTATGCCTTATGAGAATTTCATGTACCTTCCGTAAATGTCACCGATTCAAGTCAAGCGTAGTAGTTCTATGGCATCATCGCAAATAGTATTTATTTATAAATTAAGGACGAATTCATCTAAAAACATCAATTTAGGTTGTTTTTGGAAAATTTAACCCAATTTTGATCAACATTTTTTTTTAATTCTTTATTTAAGAGATTTTTAGCCTTAGGCTAGTTCATCTCTAATTTTGATCAACAGCATACAACTGAATAAGGGCAACTCTAATATTGACCACTGGTTCGTATTGGTAAACTAGATTGCCCCCAAACATTCGTTCGTTTCGTTGTATTGTTAAAATGTTGATTGAATCTCATCTGCCTTGGACTAATAACATTCCGAGCGTCTATTCAAATCGATATAAGGCATGCAGCAATAATGAAGCCTACACCTAATCGACGAACGCACCAATTTCAACCTGTACCTATAATCACTCCAAAAATGCTCGGATTTCTCCGAATCGAACGCTTTACAATCAACCAAAAGTCGGTTGATATCGAAATCGATACCCCACATCCATCTCGTTGATTGAAACATTTCGAGATCCGGTGGTGATTAGTCACTCTATTCAACAGCTAACGCGGCTTAGCCGCGCAATGCGTCATGCTTCCAGTATCATACCGCGCCGTCGGTTGTTCGATATTCTGATGAAAACCGATCTCAACAATCTAGAAGGCCACGACGACGACGACGTTGATGCAGCGAGCCGTGCAGCAGAACACGAGCACCATCCCAAAAGGGCCTGTTGTGTCGTGAAACGTGACACTCTCGCGCCAAGCGGCACGATGCTACTTTCCACGTATGGTCAAATCAAAACAAGCGAAAGGGGGATTACCTACTTTGAAAATAAGCACTCGAATGAGGCAGATTCTTTTGTTGTCACTTTAGCTTGGTATTAGTATTAGTAGTAGTAGACATGATAAATGAGTAATAACGCGAGACTCAAGTTAAAATTGCTCTGACCACAGACATGTGGTGGGAATTTGTACCAGCAGCAGTCTGAATGTGAGTTATATGTGCAAATGGGCTCTCTCCGGTGGTGTCGTTTGAATGTGGTGCTTGGTGCTTGGTGTTGACGGAGAGGTATAACTATAGGCAAACGAGTGTGCGTGCTGCTTGCGGTTTTTGCTAACCAAAGTAGGTACCACATTGAAAGTACTCACGCGCGCTGCGCGATCAGTTTAGTTCAAAGTGACTTGTCATAACGCTAAGATCGTGATCCTCTCTAGACAGCTGCTTGAGTCAGTGTTCTTCCAGTCCAGTCGATTGTGCAGATGCGTGTAATTACATATAGCAAGCGTTTTTAAAAGTGTGTAACCGAGGAGAGTAAAAACAGATTCTTAGGGATCGGGTTTTGAGAGAGGTTTGACGAGGATCATTTTGCTCGCACTGCCCTCCGTATTTAGTCTCCAGTTGATCGTTGATCGTGTACGCGCCGTGGTCCGTTACCAAACTTCATCATCATCAGCAGCCTGGTCGTTGCTAGCGGTCATCAAAGCCTACTGCGTTGGTTGGTTGGTAACCTCGGTATGAGCGAAGAGTGATTGTGGTGAGGCAGGTAAATAATCCAATGTAAAACAAGAGAAACCTATTGTGGAGTGAATTTAATGACCTGAACCATTATCAGTTCAGCGTAGCAAAACAACGACCGACAATAAAAGTGAAAAGTGGAAGTGGAAGTTCATACACAGAGTAAAAACAAAGAAGCAAAACGAGAGGGAAGCTCATTTGTTTTGCAATTATAATTGATGCCGCATAGGAAAATATAAGCCATCATTATTGGAAGGCCGGAGTAAAGCACCGAAAAAGAGCAACATGAGTATCAAGGCGGAAAATAAGATCTCGCTGAAGATCGAGCCGTCTAAAAATAACCTGATCAAATCTCCAAGTAAGTACAAAACCGATTTGGTGGCCTTTTCCGTCACCGGCAGACGGCAGGGTTTTTCATTCGCGCGCGATCGCTGTTCATGGCGACACAAAGTTATTAACAATCTCCGTCCCATGATGTAGTTAAGTTATTTATTATTTTTGTCGGTCCAGCAATATTGCACGTAGATGCAGATTTTTTTTGTTAGCCTCAGACGGTTTCAGACTTTGGTTCCCCGTATACTTGTTTTTTTTTTTGGAAGTGTTGTTTCTGTTTGTGCCGGCTTTGTTACTCCTACCAGTAATTTATTGGACCTCTTCGGTTTGATCTTCTGAGTGTTTTTTTGTTGTGTTGTACGCGATCAAGAAGAAGAACTGTAGCGTGTCTCGTGTGGGACAGTGTGAATACAAGTAGAAATACATTCAAAGTGTGCGAGAGAGCAGAGCAGAGGGAAGCGCTCAGACATGTCGCAGTGGGCTAGATATGGTAAATAAACAGTAATGGATCATTTTAGATGGCTGAGTTTTGAACCCACCACAGCTTTCATTTGGCGCTACTGTATACGGACGAACCAATGTAAAATACTGTGGTAGCCACAGTACGGTGCTGTCAAAACCTCAGCATCTTCAATGATCCATTGGAATGAGTTGTTGTCTATTTAGCTTGGTGCGAATTTACGTGGTTCTGCCGTGTGGTGTTTCACGTTGTAGGCAGTGACTCATATGGTGATATTACGATTGTGCAGAATTATTCGACTCGTTTTAGTAGATACAAGGTACAAGAGAGTTGTTGTGCGCAAGAACAAACATTTTGAGCACAATTCTCTCATGCATTCAAATGTGAATATCTCAATAACAATAACTTGAATCGTGATTTAGTCTTGAGCAACGATCTTTCTTATTGTTTACGCTACAAGCCCTGAAGTTGTGAGCTAAACCGAGTATAATGAACCAATTCTATGATCGAAAGAGTGTAGCACCGGGGGTAATTTCTCAAACATTTTTTGACCAAACACCCTTATAAACTTTGAACTAAAAGCGCCAGCTCGTGTTACAACCGAGTAAGCTGAAACTTTTCGAGAAAGATTTTCTCACCTAAAGGCACAATCATGGGGGGTACCCCGTTTAAAATTTTGATTTGGGTTGTTTTAATCCTACATAAGTGCTAGGCCGAGTTAAACAAATGGAAATTTTTTTTTTTCCATCGTTGCATTATAAGCTTCATAAGGGCTAGGCTAGTAGTGCGGTAGTTTCGAGGTGCAACTAAATGTGTTCAAATTTCGAACATGATTTAGAATCTATTACAGTATGTCGGGCAATATGGATCATGTGAATCACCCTAATGGTCACTACTGATCATGCATGAAAACATCTCTTCGGATACGTAAGACATTGATCACTTGGCAGCGATTCTCGTAGCTTGGAAGACGAAGTGCGTATCTCCAAGGTAGCTTACGGAGCGCGAAGCGAAGAAAACGTCGTTGCACAGATTCAATTCGCTCGGCCCCATTATTGTAGTTCGGGCTCCAGACTGCAGAGCAGTATTCCAACGTAGATCTGTGAAGTTCTTAGTAATCTTGAAGACAAAGCCAAGAGTTCTGGGCGCTTTGTCGACGACATGCGATATATGGGGTGAGTATGTCAGCTTTGAGTCTAGAAAAACGCCTAAGTCTTTCACGCAATGCACCCGTTCGATAGTCGTGCCTTGTAGTTTGTAGTTGAAAATAATCGGTTGTTTCTTGCGTGAGAAAGCAATGATTGTACACTTAGCTGGGTTGATCACCAGTCGGTTTAGACTACAACAGTCAGCAAAGATGTCAATCTGATTTTGGAGAGAACGGCAGTCGGCGAGTGAGTGGATGCGCAGAAAAACTTTCAGATCGCCTGCAAACGATAATCGTGGCCCTGTGATAACATGGTGAACGTCGCCGAAGTAAAGGAGAAATACCAATAGTCCCAGATGGCTACCCTGAGGTATACCGGACTTTGCGCAGAAGCTTGCTGAGCGACAAGTACCCAAAGTTACTGCCAGTTGGCGCTCCGTGAGGTATGAACGAAACCATCTCAAAAGATTTCCACCGATCCCTAGCCCATCAAGCTTAGCTATCGCAATTTCGTGGTTCGGCGTATCGAAGGCTGCCGTAACATCTGTGTAAATAAAGTCCGTTTGGGTCCGAGCAATCAAACTGTCTGTGATGTACGACGTTAGGCATAGCAGGTTCGTAGTTTTGGAACGTCCAGTTATGAATCCGTGTTGATCTATACTTAGATATTGCTTGCAATGCGCATTTAGGGACTCTATAACAACCAATTCAAAAAGTTTTGATACAGCACTCAGCGACGTGATTCCCCAGTAGTTGTTTACGGCGCGTTTGCTTCCCTTTTTATGAACAGGAAACATATCCGCAGTCTTCCAGCAAGATGGAAAGAGAGAGCTGGAATATGCGGCGCAGTGGATCTAAAAGACAAGTGAGGTTCTTTTTAAGAATAATCGACGGAACACCATCGGATCTAGCCTTAGCTGAAGTCCAGTGATGCAAAATATCATGACACTCACGTGAAACTCGTCTACGCATCAACCGACTATTGCTGACAGAACGTTTTGTCACGCAGTGAGAGGTAGAGTCATGGCAAACAACAATCACCAGTAATGGTCGCTGCTCACAAGCAAAACGTTACACTCGCTGCTGATGATGAAAAACACAACGAACACAGTGAAGACTTCTGCTGTACGATGATGAGAAAAAGCGAAACAGGTTGCAAATTTCTTGTCGATTGCCAGCAGTTTCACCATTAAAAATCATGGAGAGGGTAAGCCGACTTCCCTGCGTTGCTAATTTACGAAGTTACAGAAGAATTTCGGGTGTGATTTTAGCCGCCGTTAAATCCTCCTTTGATAGCGTTGAAAACAGAGACGACTCAACCGTTTATACTCGTGGTTGAGTCTGACATAGTAGCATTTCAGCGGCAGTGTGCGGAATTTAGTAAATCTTCTGGGAGCAGCCTTCTTAGTTCTTTTCAACGAGCGAAGATCTTTCGTCATCCAAGGGACGCGAGAGTCGATATGGATGGTCTTTTTGGAAACGTGACTGTCAATGACATATGCCAAGACGTGAGAAAAGGTTTGTGCAGCAATGTTGACGTCTACAGGATCTAGAATATGCTCCCAATCTAGGTTAGACAGCACATGGACAATACTGCGATGGTCAGCTCTACGGAAGTCATATGACACAGCGTTTGGAGAGCTGTTGAAATCATGGACAATGATGCACTTCCTTGACTAAAGGTTCGGGTGCCGTGGAGAGGAAAGGAGCTGTATCACGAGCACTCACAAAGCAGAGATCCAGGGTGCGGTTGTTTTAATTCAACAGGTCATTGATTTGTGAAAGATGAACAATCGTGATCAGGACAAAAGAAACCACTATGAGTTGGAGTCCATGCAATGTCCGGTAGGTTAAAATCGCCAAGAACAATAGCTTCGTCGGAAGGGCCTGCTTTGTCTGAAGGGACCAAGACGGATCGACAATGTGCGTCAATAAGCTCCAAGTCACGGGTTTGATCTGGAGGGATGTACACTGCACAGAGAAGCAATTAACGATCACCAAGTTGAATAGCCACCCTCACTTGTTTAACCGTGTCCCAGGAATCGTCCTCGATAACTTCTGCTTTCAGCTTGGAACTAACTGCGATAAGGACGCCTCCCTCAGTAGTTTTCCTACTATGATTCGTGTTTCGATCGCAGCGAAATATTTCGTAGCCAGCACCAAAGACGTAGTTTGAAATGGTTCGATAAAGGGTGATACGGTCAAAATTTGGTCAATATCAACTTGACGTATTTCTTTCAATTTTGCATTTAAAAAACCTGAACACCCCTCATTTTCGAGGTGTGTGTATGTGTAGAATGTTGCTCCTATTTTGATTTTGGAATTCACTCTTCAGTTGTCAAAATGCCGTCCAAGCAAGAAGAGCAGCGTATCAAAAATTTGCTCGCGCATCGCGAAAATCCGAGCTACTCGCACGCAAAGTTGGCAAAATCGCTAAAAGTTGCCAAATCAACCGTTACAAATGTAATTAAAGTGTTTGGGGAACGTTTGTCGACAGTCAGGAAGTCTGGATCGGGGGGAAATCGAAAACCGGAAGCCGCTGAGACGACAAAGAGAGTTGCCGGTAGTTTCAAGCGAAACCCTAACCTCTCTGTCCGAGATGCTGCAAATAAGCTGGGTGTATCGTCTACAACCGTGCATCGAGCCAAAAAACGAGCCGGACTATCGACTTACAAGAAGGTAGTGACTCCAAATCGCGATGATAAACAAAATACACTGTACACGACGATGCTGACGAAGTTTGACTGCGTGGTAATGGACGACGAAACCTACGTCAAAGCCGACTACAAGCAGCTTCCGGGACAGGAGTTTTATACGGCAAAAGGAAGGGGAAAGGTAGCAGATGTTTTCAAGCACATGAAACTGTCAAAGTTCGCAAAGAAATATCTGGTTTGGCAAGCCATCTGTACCTGTGGCTTGAAAAGCAGCATTTTCATAGCTTCCGGGACTGTCAACCAAGAAATTTACGTGAAAGAGTGTTTGAATAAACGTCTGCTGCCTTTCCTGAAGAAACACGGTTGTTCCGTACTGTTTTGGCCGGATTTGGCATCTTGCCATTACGGTAAAAAGGCCATGAAGTGGTACGCCGCCAACAACGTGCAGGTGGTTCCCAAGGACAAGAACCCTCCCAACACGCCAGAGCTCCGCCCAATTGAGAAATACTGGGCTATTGTCAAGCGGAATCTAAAGAAGACCAAAAAAACTGCTAAGGGCGAGCAGCAGTTCAAGGCAAACTGGCTTTCTGCGGCGAAGAAGGTGGACAAGGTGGCTTTACAAAATCTGATGGCAGGGGTCAAGCGTAAGGCCCGGCAATTCGGATTTGGAAAAGCGGAAGCCTAACTGAATATTTTTCCTGAATTTTATACTAATTGACCTTGATAAAGAAATTTAATTTGATTTTTTAAATAAACTATTTCAC